GATCCCCCACCCCGGGGGAAAGCCCACAATCCCCCCCGGCGATTGACTCCCCTGTGTGGTGATCGGCCCTTCCCCATGTCGAGGAACGCCCCCGGGCCGGGCCTGCGCCGGCGGCGCTGGCAGCGGCGCCGGCAGCGCTGTTGTCAGGAGCCCCGGCCGTTCGCCCGCGGCTGTACAACTGTCGAACGCCCAGCACCCTGTGCCGCCGAGAGCGGAGCCGCCCGGAACTGTCGCCAGTCGGCTGGCCATCCGGCTGGGCGGCCGGTCCTCGCACCTGGCCCACCCCGGCCCGGGACTCGATCTGGGAAGGCGAAAAGGCGAGGGGCGCGGTCGTTCGGCACGGTCGGGGGAGGGGCGGGCCGGTGGGCCGGGGCGTTGCCCGCCCCCCGATCCCGCGCGGAGCTGTCACCCGGCCCCGGCGGGGCTGGACGGTCCTCCGTGTTCCGGAGGCCGACCGCGGGCTTAGGGTGCCGGACGGCTGGAGCCGAACATGCCGGCGCCCGGCCGATCTCGATGCCCGGATGTGAGACGTTGATCGGTGGGCCCCGAGACATCACCATTCCCCCGGGCCGACACGCCGGGCCCGGCTGCGCCTCCCCCTCCTCCGGGCCCCTTTCGGCCCTTGTCGACTTCCGGCCCCGGTGCAAGGGACAAGCCTGCGCCTCAGGAGCCGTGGCGGGCCGGGGGGAGGGGGGGGGGGGGCATTTACATTGTTTGCGGACATTCTCCTCTTTCGTCCAGCCGCAAGCCCCCGGCGGCCAGCGCGGCCACCGGCCACACGTAGGGGCCCGTATTCCTGGGTCCTCTTCTACCGGGCACGCCCGGTCCCTGGGGACCGCGGTTCGGCCGCCCGGCCGCCCGGCCGCCATCCCATTCCCCAGGGGCGAGGTAGGGCGAGGGGCGAGGTGTCGGTGGGGGAAAGGGGGCCGCCAGGGTGTGCCAGCATGCTGGCATGCGTATGGCACGTTGCTCCTCGAAGACACCGCCTCGAGGCAAGTCGCGGGGGCCGTCCGCCCAGGGTATGCGTACGTGCCGCCACGCGCGCGCCGAGTGCCCCCCGCGCGACCCCCCCGGGTGCCGAGAGGGTCGCGTGTCCCCTCCCGCCCTCCCCCCCCCTCCTCCGCTCGCTGTCCCTCGCGCAGGCACTCAGGCAGGGGGGAAGGGGGGCGAGACAGGGGGGTAGGTGGGGGGG